GAGAAATTGTTCTTGAGGGGATTGTACTAGGAGAGGGGTGAGTTAGAGGGGAGAGAGGGCCTTGAAAGGTGGTACATCTATCTGCAAAGCAGTTTCAGCCAAGTGTTTAGCCTGGTGACTACATCTACACTATGACCCGTTTTTCATGTGATAATTTTCGTCCTATTCAAGGAGGTTATAGGGCTATAACCTTTCAACATCATAACATTTCAACATCGACGATTTTGACTTCTTCAACACCTGTACAGACAAAATGAGAAGTCACCCAGATACTAAAACAAGTGACAGAAGAAATAGGAGTACATGCTCATTGTAACTGTCACAGGAATAGTATCTTTATTTCATACTTCGCCTCGCGTTTTGGCTGCACATTTTAGCTCACCTGTATCATAAACGATGGACATACCCAAGTACATGTATTATGCCAACAAGTGACCTCAACAGTGTAATTACGAGGTTCAAGTTAATATATTCCATGTATTTTTCACTAGACAACCAACTTCATAACCTGTGAGCCCAGTTTGAGAACTCAAAACCTCGCTAAACTCTTTCACACGGGAGTAAAGTTTTCATCCCTCTTCCAATAACCACCGGGTCACGTCTGTGCTCTCCTTCATCCGTCATTTTCATCGTTAATCCTCGTAGCCATGGTAACCAGATGTACGTCAGTTGTACTGGGATGATGTCTCTATCCTCGGTTTTCCAGTCTGGCAGTAAATATGAAGTCGTGCCAAGCAAAATTTGTGGCTGAAAATTACAATGTTTTTCTATTGCCTAGGTCTTTATGTGCATCAGAGAAATGCAATGATATGGGTAACAATCTTCTCCTGACACCTCAATGGTACAAAGCACACACACAGTCTCTCCGCGCAGTCTAGCTCAAGAGTGTCAACGTTCGAAATTTCTACAGTTGACATTTTTCTGTCAATTTTAGATTGACAGAAAAATGTCAACTGTAGAAAACTTGCGACACACTTTCGAGATAAAAGTGCACCCCACTTGCGACCATCCGCGGCAGCGATGCACTGCCTAGTCGACCAGAGTTGATAAAAACACACCACTGACTTTATCTTGATCTTATCGTGTCTACTGCTTTTTAGTATGCGCAACATGTTGTGTCTGCTAAGCACATAATGCGCCCAGAAAGCCCATAATGTGCTTACTAGAATTTCAAGTCCACAAGGATGTCCGGATGATAGATAACTTTGTGTTTCAGTCAGCTAGACTGTGCAACAAAGCTGATTCAGAACAATGGGTTTGGTCAAAGAGGTTATAGGGGGTGGTGGGTAGTGGGTACTGCATACTATGTTGATAGATCCAACGTTCCAAGCCCTATAAAGTTTATACAACAAGATTATCTATTTTTCTGTGTTTTGCACCTATTTTGGCAACAGTACCACTCCCTTTCATAACAAATGGACCGGACCTCACATCTGCTTAGAGATTACTAAATAATATAAAGATGAACTTCTTGGTTAATAATAGTATCTGCAAGAGGAAAGACTTAAATTGGAAAGCAAAAAATGACCATTCCCTGAGAATCGTGCTATCACAATGTTGTTACCCAACTCCGGTCAGTATGTCTTTTATCACTAGTACACAATGAATAGCAACCTACAACCTTCAGTCGTTACTGGAGGTACTAGAGTAAAGATGACTGTCACATCAAATCAAGCTTGTCTCAGGAAAAGGTTTAGGACGTCTCTATTTAGTCGAGAAAAGGGGTCAAGATCTTTCGTGGGGTACTTGCTTGTTCTATTCCCCGCTAAGTTCAATGTCAGACGTCTTATTCAGAACTTCTATTTTCCGTGGATACTTGAGTGGGGTCCAAAGTTGCTATGCCACTTGAGCCTTTCTGTTCTCATGATTCTATTCATCAGTTTCTCACACGGAGGCGGTCTGGGTAAATCTCCTGTGATGA